GAAATATATGAGTTTGTATGTAATGTATGAATATAATATACAAGTTTCACTTTTTAAATGGAATTAYTGAAATAAATCTACTTTTTCATGATATTCTAATTTTATGACCAGCACCTGTATAATATAAAAGCCTTCATATAGTATTTTTATTAAATGCAACATGATTAACACACATTTAGGCTGAAGGTCAACTGGCTTTAAGTAAGAGTTTAATTGTACTTCTAAGTGACCCGTTACATCAAACTGAGGATTAAGGCAAATTTGGTTTAAGGTAAGTGTTGATACCTGGATCATCCATATTTCATGAGCGGTCCTAGAGATATGGCTTGACTTGCGGAAAATGACAAAAATCTAAGATGTATCTGCTCAAAATCATGTTTATTGTTATAGCTTAAAAGAACGCTTCAAATGGTTCATTAAGATTAGATTTCAGTTAGTGCATTTAAATGACACAGAGATAAGGAGGTGCATTCATTATGTTTCGACAAAACGCAATTATTGCAAAGGTTTTAATAAGTTTACCACATCTGCATATTTCTCCACATACCACTTTGTGACCTAATCTTCAGTTCCATGTGATGGGTCATGAAGCTGAGATAAAGGACTACCATTCCTATGCTTTGAATGAAACAAAAGCTGTCACATTTATTAAATGTTAGTCTATAATGATAACGAATACCTGCAACTGATGACTTCACTAACTCACACATTTTAATGTTAGAGTAACATTTAATAAAAAAATGATCCATATAACCGTTACAAAAAACAGTCTTTTCTTGCTAATTAACATGAAAATAGGTCTGGGCAATGAACCGAAAAATAACCGATACCGACATTTATGACAATACCAGACGTCATTTTGCCCATGTCGGTATTTTTAGTATTTAAAAAATGAGGAAAAGAGAAACCTGCTTGTTTTCTGTTGCGGTCTTGTTAAAACCGCCCAGTCTGATACAGGTTTAAACAGACGCTGCTTTCAATAAATCAAACAAACCCCACAGCTTTAACCAATCAGAGCAGAGCAGGGCGGGTCTTTCTGATGTCAGTGCAGCAGTCTGCAGGATAAACACCGGTCAGCCTGCAGCTCCTGTTCTGAGTGAACAAACCCCGTCCYCCACACTTCTCTCCCGAGCTAACAGAGACATTGGTTTCTAAAATCTAACTCACTAKAAGTTTATGTGTTCAGAGCGTCGTTATCAAACAGAAATGTCCAACTWTGCTTGTGTGACCAAACTCCTCTCCTCGACAGCRCTTAACGGGAGCACGCTGAGGTGCACACAGGCTGAGTTCTGAGAACTGCTGTTTCAGTTCTCCTAATGAAACAATATTAACTCTAACAGATCAACAACTGTTTGTCCCATATTATAGAAAAGACGAGTCTCCGCTTAACGTTACCACCCCCCCGCCAAAGGAAAAACAATGCTATGTAGTTTATCGTAAATATCTACAAATTTCATTCTTCACAATACAGTATATCTTGCTTATAATTAGAACCATACTGTGACTGAACTGATCTGTGATTCAATAAATGATCAAATATGAAGAATAAATAGTTTTAAATGATTACATGAGCTCTCTAAATAAAATCTTTTTGAAAGAAATAGTTATTTTAATAGAAAATCTGTCAGTTTAACAAATAATTTTTTAAGTTATTTTGTGC